TGGGGTTTGAAAAAGATTTCTTGGGGTAGGGAGGAGCGGGTCTCGGGCATGATGTGATGGGACGTTGTTCTTGGGATGGGGTAAGGAATGGCCCTTAAATTAGAAGAAGCATGTGTAAGAGCCCAGCACAGTGCTTAGCACTTGGTAGGTCCTCAGGAACAGCCACCTTTACTGCTGGGAGAAATAGGGTCTTTTTTGGACATGCATATGCAGAGATTCCCCAACTTACCTCAACCTCAAGAGGAAGGTTACTGCCTCCTTGCCCTCGGGGGAACCATACCTGCATTCCAGGAAGTGGTGACTGGTGCAAAAGGAAGGGCTAAAAGAAGGTAGAAGGTCTGAAGTTAGAGGGGCCACCAACAGTTGTCCCTCCTGTGGTTCCCTTAGTGTGTCTGAAGAAACTGAATTGTTGGTTTGTGAATGCTGAGGAGTTATTCAGTGGTTATGAGTAGAGAATAGAAGATGTGATCTCCCTACTCCATCCCATTTCTTACATCTTCATTCGAACTGAGGGTTTATGCTTTTCTAAGCTGGTGAGTGGTAGCGTTGATTCCCCTCCCCTTCCTTTTTTTTTTTTTTTTTGTGCTGATCTTACTGTATGGAAAGACTCTCCTGCAGTTCTGCTGTTTGAAATTCGATTTCTCTTATCCTCCCTATTTGTTCATTTATCGGTGTGTGATGAGATTTTGTGGACATTCAGTGTGCCTGAATACAGTCCCTCCTTAATTCAGTAAATAATTTTTGATCACCTACCATATTCCAGGCACCGTCTTGGACACTCCTGTCAATAAGACAGTTTCAGCTTGGGATAAGTACTGGAAATAAAATGAAATTGGGATGGAGAGGCTGGAAAGATGAGGGAACTAATATTACCTGAACTAGGAAGGTCAGGAATGCTTCTCTGAGCTGATATGTGGGTTTCCATCTCAGTGATGAAACTACATGGTGAATTCTACTGGGCCAGGATATTTTAAATACTGACAACCCCATTTTAAAACAGATTACTGTATTTTTGGTGTAAAATTGTAAGTACTAAGGGAGACAGAAGGGTAGTGTTAGGAGTGTGGGTTTTGACCTGAGTTTTAATTTATTCTGCCACTAACAAGCTGAGAGGCCTAGGGCAAGTTGCTTAACTTCTCAAAGCTTAGTTTCTCATCTGCAAAAGTGGGCATAATAATAACTACCTGAGACATCAACAGATAATTTACTCTGTTCTAGTTACTGTGTTAATTGTAGGCAGTCCCTTGGAGTCATGTATTCAGTATTTTTATTCCTTGTTAGACATGAAGCTCTTGTGGTTATTCTAGTTATCGTTGCCGTATAACAAACCACTCAAAAATGGTGTAAAGAAATCATTTTATTATGTTGACAATTCTGTGGGTCAGGAATTCAAAGAAGGCACAATGGGGAAGGTGTGTGTCTCTGTTCTGTGATGTCAGTTTCTTCATGGGCTAGTGTGGGCGTCCTTACAGTAAGACAGATGGATTTCAAGAGTGAGTGCCTCAGAAGAACAAGGTGGAAATGCATTGCATTTTTATTATCTAGCTTTACAAGTCACATAGCATAGCTCCCACTCTACTCTGTCTGGGCCGGTTCAGCGGGGAGGGACATTAACTCCCCCACTCTTGCTGCATAGGGGAATGTTGAGTTCATCTTGTAAGAAAAGCCTGTGGAATGGGAAGTAGTGTAAAGACTAATCAAGACAAGTAAGCAGGCAATTACATGACATGGTCTAAGTAGCTCTGGCTCTTTCCTGAAGATGGCCTGGTGGTTTGCAGACAGGAGAAACTTCATGACTCTACTGTTTTCATTAAGAAGAGGAAGTACAGTGGTATGGTATGAGCACTGAATAAGAATCAGGAGGCTTGGGGTTTTGTGTGTTTGGTTTTTTTTTATATGCTTTTATTGATTTTTAAAGGTAGAGGGAGAGAGAGAAACATCGATGAGAGAGAAACATCAACTGGCTGCCCCCTGCGTACTCCCTACTGGGGATTGAGCCCATAACCCGGGCATGTGCCCTGACCAGAAATTGAACTGGTAACCTCTTGGTTCTTGGGTTGATGCTCAACCATTTAACCACACCCGCCGGAAAAGGCCTGGTTTTAATCCTGGTCAGACCATATAGTCAGCTGTGGTCTTCCCTGCAGACCATTTATTAAATAAGAGAGTTGAACTAGAAATGATCCCTAAGAATTCTTCCAGATCTAACAGTCTAGAGTTCTAAAATAGTTTTGTTATTCTCCATGTGCTAAAAATTTGAACTATATTACCTATGGGGAGAAGTGTAACAACTAACATTTACGTACATTGCTATATTCAGGCACCGTTCTGTGCACTTTTCATATATTGGCTGGTTTAATCCTCATAGCAACCTTCTGAGATCATCCCCGTTTCACAGATAAAGAACCTAAAGTGGGGCACAGGAGTCACATAGAGAGTAAGTGGGCTAGCTGGGCTACACGTCCCAGAGCCAGTGCTCTTAATAAGCACATACACTCCTGCCTCTGAGGGCAGAAACTCCTCTTGGGGGGGGTGGGAGAGGGGGCAGTTTATGTGCTCTCCTCCTGAAACAGAAAAATGATAGTCACATCTTTGGAATAAAAAGTAGGGACTGACACGTGGGGAGTGTTTACATTCCACATTGTTCCCTCTTCACATTCACAACAATCCTATGGAATAGATATTTTT